GCTGCTACAGCTTCTCCTGTTGAAGCGCGGCACCACGAATATGGGGACATAAACTTTTCTGCTGTATGTGGGATTTACAACTATTTGATGTTCCCATTATTTTCTGCATTGATTTGGAGCAATTACATGAGGCATTTACACTCATGTCAATATCTTAGGTATGAATTGTGTCATTTAAACCATAGCTGGGTGGAAATTAATCCTGTGGTACAAACATGCAAAAATATACAGCTTTACTTTGTAAAAAAAACTCTTTCCTTGTCTGGCTTGGACTATCATTATCCATCATTATTCAGCCACTAAAGTTGAAACAGACATTACTGATAGGCAGCAGGAAACAATTCTGAGTCTTTCCCTCAGTAAAATCAAATCGATGCAGCATTTAATTTGCCATGTTAATTCCTATTTTCCTATGTAGTGACACTAAAGTACATTTAAAACTTATTAACAATTTTGTCTAATCCTAATCCTTTATAGAACATTTCATTGGAAGCGACACTGCCATTGTGTCAGAGACGCAGTTCTTTGTGATTCTTTTTACTCTAATAATCAAAACTAAAATCAGGGACAAATGCTCTTATCTGTCTGACTGCAGCGGCCTGAGATATGCTCTGGTAGGACCCGAGTCTGTGGCAGATCAATTGGGCAAATCGGATCGTAGCAGCATTTTCCGCTCAGTTAGTGGCAATCAATGGGTTTATATACAAAGAGAGGGAAAGATAGAGAGAGAGAGAGAGATGAGGAAAATAAGGCAGATGGATCTCTGAGTCCAGGGCCAGCCTTTGATCCTTTCAGACACACTGTGTACCTCATTTATCGGACCTCCCATGGGGCCAAGTTGAGGCTGTTTTATGTGTCTTCTGAAAGTAAAACAACTGGACATCAAGACAAGATTTCCCAGGTGGGCGGGGCTTGGGGCATGGCTGCAAGCAGTGACTGCTTTGTTGTGACATCACAAAATTCCAGAAGTCCTGACGGCTGGTTTTAAGGCTCAGTGTCTGAATACAGGCTGTGTGCATTTCTCTGAGGACTAAGTGCTTTGATACTTTCACAGTGTTAATATAGAACCTAGACCTGCTTTATAATCAAACAACACAAGGAAATCTACCTTTTATACAATGTGGGACCTTTAAACTTCTCACTTTGCCACAGTGATGTGCAGGTATACTCCAGGATCCAGGTGATGCCTGTAACCACAGCAGTGATTCTTGGTGTGATCGGAGGTGAAACCGGATTGAAACTTTCAACCAGACAGGGCAGGTAAAGTGCTTTTCAGCCTGGTGTTAAGTTACTCTTTAAAAGCCCAATAGCCAACTAAAGAACCAGATTCAATGAGGTGACAATCACAAACAAGTATGCAGTGACACCACCTTGATGGTGTTGTCACAGGCATAACTCAAAACCTCTTGAGGCAGTCTGTATTTATTTACATGCAAATTAAATCCTTTGAGATGATGTGAATGTGCGCTTTCAATGCAAAGTTCACTTTAGCTATTTAACTTGGGACTCATTACTTTGTCTAGACAAACTGCAAACCCATAACTTCAGAGTAAAAAGTTTGTAAGACATCACCAGACTGAGGAAGTGGCATTTATCTTGTTCTCTAAAATTAAAACTGTGAGCAAACAAGGTTTACTTGTGTAGAAGCAGCAGCATGCTTTAAACTGTGCCCTTATTTCTTGTGGCCCCTCTTGGGCTCTGCAGATAGCTACAGGGCAGAGTGATGAAAACTGCAGAGAGAGAATAAAGAGAACAAGGCCACAGAGTGGAGTGGACCTACAGTGTGACGTCCTGAAACAGAAGGAGATACTGGGTCGCTCAAGGTAAGATGGAGTGAGGAGGGAGTGAGTAAAGGACAGAGAGGGAATACAGGAGAGTGCGCTGTGAGGAAATAATTTAAAGTAATAAAATGAAGGAGAATGAAGGAATTGAGAACAAAAGCGAGAGAGAGAGAAGCAATGGGGATAAAAGGAAAGTATGATAATTGGGCCTCGTTTGCTAGTGTGTCTGTGTGTTTTACAGATTTATGCTGCTTCAATCTGGGTCAAGGTTATGTAGGAAGTCTAACAGCTCCTAACCACACTGCTTCAAAAGTGCTTCACTGATGTTTCTCCTCAACTACCCATTTATATAAACTCTTCATCTGTTTCTGTCTCTGTCTAACCGGAACACAAGAAATAAATGAATTCAAACTGGGAAACTCTGAATAAAAGGGTATTTATGCTGCAGACCATTCAACCACTGAGGACATTTTATTTCTATTTCTCCAGCAACAAACAGGTTATTGACCCTTCAACTTCTCTGTAATGTCACTTATATGATCCAGAACAACAGATACTCACACAAAGGATTGGAAAGAAACAAAGATATTATCAAAGCTGCAAACAATGTTGCGCAGGCACCTCAGGTGGCGCTGCCAGGAGGCCACGAGTCCATGAAATGCAGCCAACATGCATTATGTTCCTGTACATCACGTGTAAACCAGACCATGAAAATGTCATGTAAATCAAATAATGATTGTCACTCAAGGGTTACTTCCTGTTTTCTGTTGGCGTTATGACTATGACTTTGTATTAGTAGGCAGATGTCTTCAGTATGGGACCTATTATAAGACATGTGAGGTTTGGGGCAGATTGGACAATGTATATTTCAGTTACAACAACTTCCTGTTTCATGGAGAAACATCGGAATTTGCCATGTTGACAGAGCCTCGCCGTTGGATGAAAACATTCGAAAGTTTTAGTTGTCTAGAGTCTTATCCGTCACGCAGTCCCATCAGGGAGGTGTCTAATTGGCCCCACATTCATTCTGCTGCATGGCAACAACCCCAAACATACAGCCAGAGTCTGTCTGCAGAGACAACAAGAGCAAGGAGTCCTGCAACAGATGGTATGGATGGATGCATGATAATATGTGTGAGCGTGTGTGTGTGTGTGTGTGTGTGTGTGTGTGTGTGTGTAGGGATTTGGGAGAGTGTGTGTTTGCTTTCAAGCTATCATAGCTCAGTCATGCAGGTAAAGTCATCAACACCACCAATCTGCTGAGTCCTCTAGGGAATTGTGCATGCACACCCACATACATGTGCATGTACACACAATGCGCGCGCGCACACACACACACACACACACACACACACACACACACACACACACACACACAGACAGAGCCTGTCCCAGGGGTGTTTCTCACTCCTGAGAGAGGGACAAGGGAGGGGCAGAGTCCATTCACCCATACAGACAGAAAGAAAATTAATTTGTTACAGCACGTTTATCGTCATGACAACCTGCTTTTTAATTAACGGCTGACAAACAGCAAAGTGTCCTGTCTCTCTCTGGGGAAAGACAGATATAGAGAAAATGGAGGAAATAAAAAGACTGTTTACGTTTCCTGTTTTAGGAGACAGACACTCCGATTTTTCTGCAACAGGTTCTGAGAGCTGAAGTTAATATTGTAAAATGTAATAATACAATAATATAATAACTTGTCAATTCTTTAATCATCCTTGTCAATTTTATAATTGCAAATGTATTTCATTGCATTGAATAAAACTTTACATATAGTTCAATTTACTCAACTAAATGCTCGCTCAGTTTTTGCTCTGTCTTTGGTCTCCACCACATCCTGAGGGAAATATCTGGACCTTTAGCTGCTGCATGCACCAGCCAGTTGTGAACTTTGTTTGTGTACTGGTTGCTGCTGAGCAGGGGTAGTGTACAGTGAGTTTATCTTTAGCTTTTTTTTTTAGCTGGAAAAAACTGCCCGCTGCTGCCAAAAACAACGCCACGAGAGCGGTAAATGAATGAAAATAGTAAAGTTGTGGGCCAGACAGATAAACAAAGAGCTGAAAGTCACTGTAAAGCTCCATCGAGGCGAGGGAAGCTGCAGAGTCTGGAGGTTATTCTAGTTCATCACTAGGAGCGACCCTCTTTGGTCTAATTGTTTTCACATTGTCATTTGATTTTGTAGTAAACTCTAAATATATCTATTAAAGCCACTTTAATGAAAGATGGAGATCTCCGGTTCACAATTATAATGGTCATTTTTAACTAGTGTTCTGACTATTTATGGGCCACTTGATAAATACATATAAAATATTGATTAATAGATAAAGACAAATATTGTTAGTTTACATTCATTCTTTTTGGTTTCTCAATATTTATCTGTTGATAAAAAGCCTCAAGAAGGTGACTTGACATCTGATGTACAATGTACATGTTTCATGTTCAGTAAAATCTCCTTTCATATCCTTTAATGAACCCATACTATGCTACATTTTACAGCTTCAGCTTTACATTTTAGCACTTTAAGAGCAAATTACTGTAAATTAAAGGCCCAGTCTGTTAGTGTGTACAGCCACGCAGAAGGAGTCTGTATGTGCTGCAGTATGGATCAATGCTACAAGAAATATGTGATCAATCATAGTGAATCACATCCAGCAAATCAGAGATGGAGGATTTTTAACAAACTGACAACTGGTTTTATAATTCCATCTTGTGTGTGTGTGTGTGTGTGTGTGTGTGTGTGTGTGTGTGTGTGTGTGTGTGTGTGTGTGTGTGTGTGTGTTTGTGTGTATGTGTGTTTTCTGGATGTGTGTAGCATCAGCCTCTTGACAGTAATAAACCAACTGACTGTGACCTTTAAACCACTCAGTGAATTCAGAAACTTTTGGTTTGTCTTCTGAGCGTAGTTTAGCTTCGGGTCCAGCCACTGAAATGCAGTCCTTGATGAAAAAAAGGAAAAGGACTTCTGCCTGACAAGTCGGCCCTGTCATGTAAAACTAAAACATCTCAGCTCTGTGTGCGAGAGTGAAATATATGGAGCCTGTGTTCGCCCACCTCACATCAGGCGTCGGACCACAGAGCTCTTTAAAGAATCAAACCTTCAAAACAGAACGGCTGCCTCAAATACCACCAGTGTGGACTGCTGTGTGAGGAAGAGCAAATAAGTGAGAGTGTGTGTGTGTGTGTGTGTGTGTGTGTGTGGGTGTGTGTGTGTTCTACCTCTTGAGGTTAAGCAGAGCCCAGGGGATGCCGGTGGGCGTTTTGAAGGCTGGCAGCAGCTTTTCTCCCAGCTCCACCGCCTTTCTACGGAAAACCTGAGAAAGAAAGGCAGAGAGTGTCTCATTACAAGAGGTTTCTTCTTGCTCAAAGAGGATTTCCTGATCAACTCTTGGGAAAGACCACGTACACCGGAAAGGCGGAGGGGGAAAAAAAGAATCCGATAAGTATTTTTTACACAACTAAAACATTCAACATCAGAACCATGACTCAACAATTTGAACTTGAAGGTAAAATCATGTAAAATCATGTAAAATCAGAAAAAAACTTTTCAACATCTGAAAAAAAAAAATCCACATTTTCCTCTCAGTATAAAGTTTATAGCTTACACTTGTATCCCAGTCCTTCCCTCCTTCCTTCCGCTCTTTTCATCCCTTTATTCCAGGCTTTCCTGTCTCCTTCCTTTTCTCCTTATAATCTTTTGCCAATATCTTTCCCTGCCTGTCTTGTTGTTGCTTGCAGCTACAACACATGAATGTTTTCCATCTGTAATTTGAGGAAAATGACAGAGATTCTTGACTTTATTTAGTCTTTTACGATGTCACTTACATAGTGTAAAAATGAAATTATAAGATACTCCTCAGTGAAACTATTCCAACTGGAACAGCGCTTCAAAGTCAAAATACTAATGTAACGACACATTAAACCTGGAACTGAAGAAGAAGCACATGATCAGAATGAAAGGCATCATGGGAACATTTTAAGACCAGTTTATTATATAAGTGGATTTAGGGATATTCTAACAAAGAAAATAAATAAATAAGTCTGGAAGAATCCCTCTACATCTGATTGAGCATAACTAATTGAAGTGGTGCAAACTAAATGGGCACAGTGACTGGACTATGATGATGCAAAACATCCAGCAGTCGTTCCTGCAGCTCTAAAGTGACTGACTGACTACAAGAGAATGACATTTTGATTGAATGAATGAATGATTCCCTGCTCACTACAGGTAACAGAACTTCAGCTTAAACTTGACAGAAAAACACAAACTCCTCCTAAACAGAAGTGAGTGTATTAAATCCAAGTTTACACCATTTCAATTATAATAAAAGTAAACTTTATCTATATAGCATCTTAAAACAAAACAACTACTTAGATTCCCTGTGTCTAAGCTCTAGTGTTCGCATATGTGACCGGACAGCTTTGTAGCAGCTTTAGTCAGGAGAGGTCGGTGGGTTATGGCGGCTCTTAGGTGTCTGATTTTGTTGCCTGTAAAAGTGAAGTACTTCCATATTCGGCTCCTGGCACGGCTTTAGTCAGGCAGTTAAGATGGAATGGGATTTGGCCCAAGACGTGGTGGACTGCTTCACACCGCTGCCAGAGTTTCATCCGCTTCACTCAAACTACTGCCGCCGCTGCTGCTGCTGCTGCTGGCCACTGACGAGAGCGAGAATGACGCTATGTCTGTTTCAGTTTTGCTGTTTGCTATGCAATCCACATGTACATGCCGGTTTTTGTTTTTTTTTTGTTTTGTTTTTTTGGCTCACTGTAAATGTAGTGTAATGTTAAAAAACATCAAACCTGAAACAGCCATTTCTGACGAACGATGACTACAAACATTATCAAAGTATTTTTGAAGCAATGATATGTCATCAACCTTTACAAATGAAATTCCTTTGTTAAGGGGAGGATGTCATTTACATCCACATGAAACACTGGAACGTGCACGTTCATGAAAGACTTGAGAGTCAGCAATATAAACGCAGCAAAGCTTTTCAGCACTGTTTACCACATTCTCATAAACCTATCCAGCTTTACTTGAGTTGCTGCATTTTCAAATTCAAAACCAGCTCTCACAAAGTTCGCCTATTCTAATTATATTACCTCACAAAGACAGAGAACACCAAACACTTTCTTTGTTGAAATATGTGGTTTAACACACAGGAGCATTATCACTTCTTTGGCTACACAACCAAAAGCTGGTACGTGATCACAAGCCTCATGAGTGTGTATGGTATTAATAACGTTCCACCATTCAATACCAATTCAAATGTAAAACATGTTACACATTTAAACATGGGTCAACAATACTTTTCTCTTCTGCACCTCATCCCCACTTGTTCTGAGGCTGCATTTACAAGCCTGCCTTTTGTTATCATCCATCCATGATTCTTTTCTCCATTGTAGTAATATCTTTCATTCACACACACACAAACACATACACTCAGAGGTGGTACAGTAGCATACACTTTGTCAGCGAGCTGGCAGCTCCGTTCCCAGGAGATCTACCACTCATCAGGGTGTGAGGGATGGAGGCAGGGCGGAGAAAAAGATTTGCGAGGAAAAAGCTCGGGAGGCTACTTGTCAAAACAATGTGGCAACTCCACAGCTAAAAAGGCAGGAAAAGGTTACTGTGAGTTGAACCAGGAAGAGAGGTAACAGAAGGGTGGTATTCATGTCAGAATGACATTTGGGGAATAACTATCAGATCAATGTAGGCGATCTGATGGTGTCACGGAATCGCAGGCCCAGACAGGAAATGTTTAGCTGCAGAATTTCTACAACAAAAATGTCTTTAGTTCCTGTGAAGCCACCTCACGTCACACAGGCCTCTTCAGTCTCTGTCAGACTGACTCAGACTAGAAGTCCTTCACTTCAGTGGATGGTAAATTATAGCCTGTAATAAACTAATTACCCTTTGCAAAAGTCAGATCTCTTTGTGAAGGACAATGACTATGTTTGATTTTAGAAACATTCATCATTCAGTTCAAATAATGTTAATATTCATATCTGCTGCATATGTAAATGAGCAACTAATTTGTTATTTACTTGTTTATTAACATGTTCAGCACATATTGTGTTTACAGCTTGTTGTGCTCCCTCTGATAGGCCAATTAATGGAGGTGTAAGAAAAACAAAATTAGGAATAAATATAATAATTCCTGCCTCGTGCAAACAGACTCTATGTGTCTCTTCTATGATTCATTTAAACACCCTTGCACTCTCACCCTTGCACATTGGTCCATACACATATTTATTTATATTTATCTACTGTATACTTTTGGGTTCTACTGAAAGTGTATTGTACGTTTTAATCACATACATCACATGAATAAAAATATATGATCCAATAGATATTGCCAAGTCATCGCACATTTCATGCTGTTTTGAGAAACCTCAAACTTTCTGCTAGAACTAAGAACAGTTTCAACAAGAAAACTGTTGGAGGTCTACAGGTTTGCTGGTGAGGACTGGAGTGTGTCGACAAAAACCATCCGGTACAACATCAGAAAAAGATAAGAGACAGACAATAAAATGAAAACAGTCAGATGGTAACTTAAATTATATTGTGACCAGGGTGGGAAACGTCCAGTCAACACACACAGAAATGAGGATGACCATGTTTGGTATTGGAGAAATTGTAAAACCGGCTAATGTAAACGCCATTAAATCTCACTGGGATTTTAGATTGCACATCAGGAGGACCTACCCCACTGTACATATATATATGTGTGTGTGTGTGTGTGTGTGTGTGTGTGTGTGTGGAAAGGTGTTTCAGGGCTGCACCTTGGGAGCAGGACTGTGTCGTAACAAGGCGTCAGATCCCCGTGATTAATGCCTTTAATAATGCCAGGAGCACACTGAGGGGAAGAATAAAAACACTCCCAGGGATGCACAGAAGAATAAATTAAACACACCCTGTGTCCAAGGCCATCAAACAAACTGCCAACAAGCTTTAATAAGCAACTGAATTACACAGAAACTGAGGAGCGCGCACACACACGCACACACACGCACACACACGCACACATGCAAAGCTTTTGGGCTGATGTCATTAGTGCAAACCGATGTTGATAATCACATTACATGCCTGGGCACTTCTGAGAAATCGTCTATCAGGAAAAAAGAACTACCTCACTACTACTGTGTGTTTGCTTGTGTATGTCAACCTTAGCAACTGTATAAACCAGTATCTGACAGGTGATGAAGTCACCAGCTGAATGTTTTGAGGAGGCATGCATGATTATTATTTTAATAAGTACTGTATCTGTGATTACTCGTTAAAACACCTGCCACGTTGTGATGTCCTTGTGTTCGGATCACGGAGGATGCTGCATAATATTTGAACTGATAAAGACAAAAGTGATAGCAGGAAGAATTCGGTGCTGTCATCTTGCATGTGCGGTAATAAATGAGTTATCAAAACAATAACTTACACTGTTCAAGGGTTTCACTGGAACACAGCAGTGGTTTTATATCTGGCATTCCACTGAGGACGTTTCAAAAATGTATTTCCTTCTTATTCAAGTCAGGTGATATCTCCTTGTTCATGGTCCCTTGGTGTAGAGGTTTTAGCTATAATGGACTTAACGACTTAAAGATGAGTGATTGCAAATCATATTCAACCTCTTACCCAAGTTTCCAAATGTCAAACTAAGATTTGATCCAGTCGGTGTAATCAAAGTCTGATAAATGACATTGTCTCATGTCAGTATAACGGCTGGTGTAAAGCATTTTCGCTATTACGTAGTTTGTCCACCAGAGCAATGACAAGTTTATTTTTCAACTGCGAAATGTCCCAGAGTCCAATCTTTGCTACCATTTTTTAATAAACAAATATTTTTGTTATATTCATTCAGTCATTCATTAGCCATACTGCTTTCCTTTAGGTACGAGGGGAGGCCGGAGCCGATCCCAGCTGACACTGAGTTTAGAGCAAGGATGCACTCTGGAGTGGTCAGCAGTCTATCACAGGGCTGACATATAGTTAATTAATACTCACATATACACCTATGGACAATTTAGATGAAGCTGGAGTACCTGGAAGAAACCCACACAGACATAAGGAGAACATGCTAATTCAACAGAAAGGCTCCAGCCAGCTGGCAGGTTCCAACCCAGAACCTGCTTGCTGTGAGGCAAGAGTGCTGGTCACTGTACCAGATTTTAATCAAAAATATTTATGTTTTGTGTGTTGTTGAGACACAATCTTACACGATTCCTGTATCAGTTTCTAAATTCAAGTACTATTTGATTATACTGGTTGTCAGTGATGCAGCCTACTGATTTAAGTGAGACAAATTGGTAAGACTCC